AAGTTTTAATTTAAATAAATATGCTAATAGACCCACCGAGTAAATAATTTTTAATATTAAGTTTTTTTTTCTTAGTGTAGTGATTCTTAACAATGAGATTTACTTTACAAGAATATTGTGATATAATTGTGTACAGATTTGCAGAAAAAAGCGCACGTGCCGCAACATGAATTTACAAAAGAAATTTCCTAGGCGTGCGCAACATCACACGAGACGTCAAATTTATTATGCAGCAGTTTTGAAAAACAAAGTATCTCGTGCATAATCATGGAATTGTCAATTAGGTGCATTGTCGTATTCATGATAAAAAACAATTCTTTCAATTTATGAAGATCCTGGAATGCATCGTTTGATGCATAATTTAGGCGTACTAAAAAATTGTACATCACATTTTACGCATAAACAGATTACAGCTCTATTATCAGCATATGTAATTGCAATTACTAAAAGACAAACTCGTAAATTTTTGTAAAGATATTGTTATCAACGTTGTATATTCACAATATTTTTAACGTATATTAATTAGTAAAATATACACAAGATTCCTTTTGTAACGTATTATCTACTGCAAGGTAGTGTGGAAACGATAGCGCATTGTTAAAAGAAAGAGAAATTATTTTTCGACGCGTGATAGTTTATCATAAACCGTTCGTTTTTTATCTCTTTAACCCTTGTGAAAATTGTAAAATGATAGAGGACTTTTCGGTTCAGTTTGGTTTGCTCTACCGGCATACGGTCGCTGTGTCGAAATTTTTGGGACACCCTGTATATATATATCACATAAAACTTTTCTTTAAACCGAGTTATATGTGTATTTTGACCATTAGAAGTTTGTTGCTAGGAGACACCGCATTGTTTGATCTAAATTTGCTTCATACCTGCAGCTTCACATATCTTGTAACACTCGCGAATAAAATATTTAATGTATAATTTTTGAACTCAGTATTAAAGAAAAGACTGGTGTCGGAATGGTAAATGAAAAAGAATTCTGGACGGAAATTCGGAAAGACATACCACGATACAGGAAGAAAAAACCACGAGTCGTTCCTGCCTTCACTATTCAGGCTCTGCAGGTGATACAAATTAATAAACCATCTTTTTCAACGCTATAAACGTCAACGTAACAAATAATACGATGTCAATTTCAATACAGGAAAATACGATCGTTGCAAAACCTCCACGATGTGGATTATACAAACCTCGTCCACCGAAACCGTCAACGTTCAGAAAGTTCTACAAACGCCGTGTGTTTCCCATCTCGTTGGAGAACGACGGCTACGACCAGAAAATTAATTGGAAAGTGGACATAGAGGACTTGGACTTCCATCATTATCTGCCGATGTTCTTCGACGGTTTAACGGAAACGGAACAACCGTACAAGTTTCTAGTGGAGCAGGGAATATCGGATATGCTGGAGCACGGTGGGCCCAAGATATTACCCGTTGTGCCTCAACTAATCATTCCTATTAAGAGTAAGTCTTCTAATTCACTTTAACACAAAAAAAGATCCCGTATTTGTACTGTAATAAGGAAAAAAAAACTGTTAGATGCGTTGAATACGAGGATGCCCGAGATAATCTGCAGTACGATGAAAGCACTTCAACGTTTAGTACGTTCGGCGGATTGCGTTGGTGAAGCCCTAGTCCCGTATTTTAGACAAATTCTGCCCATTCCTAATTTACTGAAAGACAGAAACGGTAAGCGTGCACTTTTAATTGCTTCCGCACTTCAGAAGAAAATAAAATTTGAAATTTTAGTGAATCTTGGAGAAGGTATCGATTATTCTCAGCAAAGGGGAGAGAATGCAGCGGACATTATACAAGAAACGCTCGAGATATTGGAAAGATACGGTGGCGAGGATGCTTTCATAAATATCAAATATATGGTTCCCACCTATGAATCTTGTATGATGAATTAATAGACGAAACATAACACAACCATTCAACTAACAGATTTATTTACTATTTAGTTTTCGATGAAAATGAAAGTTAGAAAATTAAAATGTATAAGAAATTCAATTTAACATCACAACTGGAATATAATATATATTATAACAAAAAAGATATATATTATATACGACGGAAATATATATAATATTACTGACTCAAAGTTTTAACTTAAGAAGCATAATCATGATTAAAAAATTCACAAGAAATCTAAAATAATAACCACATTAATATTTAATGTAACAAACGAAGGACGTACTTTTATCTCGCATTTTATAATCGATATAAAAAAGTAATAAAAGTAAAAATTTGTTTACAACACTTTCTGAAGACATGCTTACACCTTTCCGGCATCTTCTTTCAATGTTACAGTACGATTAAAAACAAGCTGAAATGAAAAGAAAGAACGTTATTACAGCTCATACGTGTATTAATGATTGTACACTCACCCGATATTTATTCGACACTTTGGCACTATCGGGATCAACAGAAAAGAAGCCGATACGTTCGAACTGGAACTTATCGTATACGTTCGCTGTTTGGGGCAAACTATGATCGATATATGCTACAACGACCTTTTTGCTGGATGGATTTATATCGCTTAAAAACCCATTCGGTACCTCATTTGTATCTTCTGGGTTTTTGTGCTTAAATCTGGGGGAAATTAAAATATTTTTGTTACACATAATTAATATATATATAAAATTGTCATAGTTAATAATTTAAAAAATCTTATCACTCACAAGCGCTCGTACAGCCTGACAGATGCTAAGCACGGATCAGATACCCAATGTATGAATGCCTTCGGTTTATTCTTTTCTGTGACAGGCTCTTGTGTGACAATTATATTTGTAATATTGCCACTCTCATCTTTTTCGATACTTTGAAACTTTAGTATGATACCCGCGTGCTTCAAGCCGACAGGTTGCTTCGGTGTCAGACGTCTAAAACCCTTTTCCTCGACCTACAAACACATAATAGGATGAATTAGCAAACGTAAAAGATTTCTAGAAAAAAGAAGAATACACTGCATACTTCTTTGAAATCCGAAGCTTCTATGTACACGGTTTCACAAAACTTGATTTCATGACTTCCTCTTTCCGGTTCATTGGGAAAATCAGGCACATTGAGCGTCTCTTTCTCATGAGTGAAGTTTTTGATGGTCAGTTTAATAGGCTCCAGAACGACCATGTGTCGAGGTGCAGTGAGATTCAGAACATCTCTGACAGCTGCTTCCAGTGCTGCTGGGTCGACGGTCGCTAGTGCGCCAGTCACACCCATTTGGGCACAGAAATTATTTATAGCTTCCGGAGGAAAGCCACGTCTACGCAGCGCGGTCAATGTGAACAATCTGCGAAAAGGGCGGTACGATGCATTAATAAAATGCAAAAATACGATTGTTTGTTACACCGTACCTGGGATCGTCCCAATCCGATACGATTCCCTCTTGTATTAATTTGGCAATCTTTCTTTTAGAAACCACGGTGTAATTGATATTTAGTCGGCCGTACTCCCATTGCACGGGACAGTAAATGTCCAAGGCGTTGCAAAGCCAGTAATAAGATGACCTTCGTGATTGGAATTCCTTCGTGCAGAGAGAGTGGGTGATATTTTCGATGCTGTCGCACAAGCAATGAGTATAATCGTAAGTGGGATAGATGCACCATTGATCGCCGGTTCGGTGATGCGGTGAATACTTGATTCTGTACGCAACCGGATCTTGCTTGCCCTCCTCTAAAGTCACTTTCATGCGCAAAGTCACTTCGCCTTCTTCGAACAAACCATCCTTCATATCCTGTTATCGAAGAAAAAGAAACATAGATACCCATAATCAAGGAAATACAATAAGGAAAATATGCAAAGTTAAATAGCTTACATTAAATAGCTTCAAGCTTTCTTCGATTGGCCTGTCGCGCCATGGACTCGGCGGAGGATTGAAACCTTTCATTTCATCGCTAGACTGATGACAAACGTAGGCAAAACCTTTCTTTATGAGCTCCACAGCCCATTCGTACAATTGCTGGAAGTTATCCGACGAGTGCGTAATCATGGCCGGTTTGTAACCGAGCCACTCTACCATGTCCCGAATTCCAATGAAAAACTTTTCCTCTTCTTTCTCAGGATTTGTGTCATCATACCGCAAATAACATATGCCGTCATAAGCAGCAGCGTATCTACAAGATTTAACCTTCTTACAATATATTCGACTAACAAAAACAAAGATACATACCCAAAGTTGATATTAATAGCCTTTGCATGTCCAATGTGTAAGATTCCATTAGGTTCTGGTGGGAATCTTGTTCTCACTTTGCCACCAGTAATCTTCACATGCTCTTGCAACAAACGATGCGTGTTTGGCGTTACGATATATCCCTCGGTCTTATAATTCTCTCCAGGCTTGTGGAAGTGAACTTTGGTCTTCATGAGTTCACTTATGGTTTGCGCTTCTACCTTCTCACTGCTCGATGTTTCTTTATGTTCTGAAAATTCGTTAATTTATTGAAAATAAATATTTACAATATATTCTTACTAGAGAAATATGGTATTTTAAATATATATATAGAGCTCACCTTCCTTTACATCTTTCTTTGCTTTTGCCTGCTTGTCCTTTGGCTGTTTCACTTGTTTAGGTGCCGGTGCAAGATCAGCATCAGTTTTTGGCCCCAATAGATCCAAAAGCTGGACATCAAATTCATTCTTTACTGCTTTGCCATCTGCCCACATTAAGGTGTTCCTCACTTGCTGCATTAATGGACCACAATTAAAGCGGTACCTATTTAGATAATGTCACACAAATTGTAATTACTTATCATAATTAATTTTGCTTCTTTCATACATGAATTTTCTCTCCAATATATCGCATATGTCATTTAAATTAAATTAGTATTTAAACATTTTCTCACCTCTTTTCTATTATCTCATCCTTGTGTGTCTTTATAACCTTTTCTACTTCTTCTTCTATTTGTTCAGGTGAAACTACCACTCCTATACCACAAGTCTTCTCAAATTTTGCCACATCAATATTGTCAGCATTGTTCACGTTAGCTAACAAATAAACTAATGCAGCATCTACCCTTTGCACAGTGTCTAGCTTCTTCTCAATTATATAATTAGTAATAAACGGTATTTTATCTGCAATCTGGTTTTTAATCTTGGAAGCAAGATGGTACAGCAAAACACCAATATCTTGAGAAATAGAGCCATGCTTAGCTGCCTGCAAGCACATATTAAATATTTTATTATATATATAAATTAAATTCTTAATTATTTTAAAATATACAGTAAAATATTTTTGTCAAGTAATAATATATATACAAATTTCCTTATAAAATAATTAAAAATAAGATACATGATTAGTATTTAATTCATGATGTAACTTATGTCGAAATGTCGAATGAGAAATGATGCAATATATATGATATATGATATTCAATCTGATTTCAATGTTTAATTATTTTCTCATTTGATTTAGAAAATACCTTGGCACTTAAAATACGAGCATAAAAAGATGTTAATTCGCCGGCAATCGTTACCGAACACTAACCTCGTTAATTGCCAGCTTGAGATTTTTCGTGACAGAAGCATTTTTTAAGGTCTCTTTAGCCTTCTGCTCACTCAAACCGATCGTCTGAAGCAGTTCCACGTCGTCCTTGGTTTCTCCCGGCATTTTTTAATCCGTTTATTTGAAAAATAAAACTATCACGTTCCTAACTCGCCACGCAGTCAGCGAACATTAGAAAAGAGCAGACATATTATTTCTATCTTCTTTCTTACGCGCCATTTTATCCGGGATTTTATGATTTGTTACCAGGAACACATGATGACAGAGGAGCTAACTCTTGCTAACAGTGCCATCTATTGATTAGCTAAAGCAACATTGATGCATTGATGGTAAGTGTACCGACTGCGCTAATGAGTAAGCTCCTATATTATCATGTGCTCCTGTTACAATTTCAAATACATTGATGGTAAGTGTACCGACTACACTAGTGAGTAAGCTCCTATACCATCATGTGCTCCTGTTACAAGTTCAAATACATTGATGGTATGTGTACCGACTGCACTAGTGAGTAAGCTCCTAAATCATCATGTGCTCCTGTTACAATTTCATAAAATTCCGAATAAAATAGAACATTTCTGGCCGTTCCAGCGGGTATGTAATTTAAATTTTTCTACATACTTATTTTTGCTTTTTTTGACAGTGTTAGAATGCTCGTAAAATATTTAAATAATTAAAATGTCTTTTTTTTAATTTTTGGAAACTTTTTTATTGCAAAATCCAAAATGCCAATTGATAAAGAAATTAAAAAACGTCTTTTTTAGGACGTTTTTAAGACGTTTTTTTTTCGATAAATACAATTATTATTGAATTTACGTGAAAGTTTTCACTTTTCACGTTTCCGCTCCAAGGGAAAAATTACATAATCGTTGATCCTGATCACACCAACTAATACTTTCCGTATGAATAGGCATTAAATTTGGACGATTCAAGATGCGTGTCGCATCTAGATATTCGTACATCATAACTATAAGTCATAGTGGATAAGATATCTAAAATTGAATTTCTATTTATTATTTATTGCTTGAATTATAACTATTGTCTCAATTTTACATTCAATCTTTTGTACATGTTAAATGCTCAAGGATATCAAGTTGTGTCTGACAGTTATAAAGTTAGATATTAAACATAAGTTAAAATATGAACAATAGTTTACAAGTAAATTAAACAAAATATACATCGTTAATCATTCCATTAAACAATGAAAAGAGATTGAGATAATTCTGTTCTAATATAAGTGTACAATAAATTTTCAGATTATTAAGAGTTTATCTGCTTGATGACACAGCGGTAGCACAGCCACCGTTGTGTTGCCTGAGCATAGCCCTTGTAAACATGAGTGAAAACATGGATAGTGATGATGATCAACCACGATTAAGTTCGAGTACGCTCGCTGCGCTACAAGAATTTCTCAGAGAGAAGGAAGAACGAAAGAATTTGTTGAAACGTATAGCTGAGGAAGATCGGATACCAAATGCTCTCTTCGAGGAGGATTGGGTAAGTCATCGATTATTTGTGTGATATAACTTTTAGTTCCTTTGAAAAACTGACACATAATTGTTGCAGCAACTGAGTCAATTTTGGTATGATGACAAAACGATAGAGGCTTTTACCAAAGGTGCCTTGAATTCCACTCCAGCAAATGGAAAGATTGCTTTGATTTCTTGTCCCTCACTTTATAGTAAACTGAAAAAAGAATGTGAGGAAAGGCAAAGTATGACTAATATGTGCACTCTAATTGTACAGTATATTATTAGCTAAGAAGCTTGTTCTAAATATATTTCTAATTACAGTTGTGCTGTTCGAGTATGATAGTCGCTTCAATATATTTGGTGGAGATTTTCTACAGTATGATTATAAGTTTCCTTTGGATGTGCCCAGAGATATGTCTAGTGAATTTGATCTAGTCATAGCTGATCCGCCGTTTCTTTCAGAGGAATGTTTAACCAAGACAGCAGTGACAATCAAGTTTTTAGCAAAGAAAAATATTGTACTGTGCACAGGTAATTGTAAAATTATATTTCTGCTGTGTTTCCTTGTTATTTATTACTTGTATAAAAATGAATATTGATTTGTACACAGGGGCTGTCATGGCGGAATTGGCAGAAAGGCTGTTGAATGTTAAGAAATGTGATATTATTCCAGGGCACAAGAACAACTTAGCAAATGAATTTTATTGCTATTCAAATTTTAATTTTGACCAAAGTTTAAGTGAACAATATTAAAACAGTATTATGCGAAGCAATATATTTTTAATAAATAAGCAAGTAAATATTATTTATTTTATTTATATTTTCTTAAGAATCGATACGAATGGATTTATATTTTATTCATCAAATTTTTTATTAAAATTATTACCATTTTATATTTGTATAATTGTACAAGTATTTGTATTTACGCGGCGAAATCATTAAAAAGTACAGATCGATACGTATCGAATCGTAATTTTTCAAGGCAATTCGACGACCTAACAGGAAGAAAATCCCCAGACGACGCGAAGAGAGGAAAGTCTCTATGCAGTGTCGCATCCGCGAAAAAGTAGACACGCGATGGAAAGCGTAAATATTTACATCTCTTGAGTGTTCGTCGGCGCATTTTTTTATTTGTAATCATGATAGACGGGAACATCTCGATGGAGGAGGACACGGAATTACGGGATCTTGTGGTGCAGACCCTGGAGAATAACGGCGTCCTCGCTAAGATACGGGTGCGTCTTGGAAAAGCTATGAAAAAAAATTCGCGTCTCTGTAGGTTATGCGTATTTTTGGGACAAGCGGCTAAAAGCGAACGTTAATTTGTGCTATTATCTATCCCTCCGTTCTTTATCAGACTCCTTTTGTGATGTTCGCAGGCGGAACTCAGGGCGAGCGTGTTCCTGGCACTCGAGGAGCAGGATTCGGTAATGGTGAGTGTTGTTCGTGCGTGCCGCAATAAAGCGCAAAAAGAAAGCTTCCTGTTTACAATTCTTTGTGCTCGATCGGCCGTAACGGCTTGTCATGCGTGCGAAAATGCATACAAGGCATCTCGTGTATAAGAAACACAATAACTTTGTTGTACATTATATTTATTTTGCAAAAAATTTGCATTATTTTTTTATAAAAATGTAACATTATTACAACTTCATAAAACAAGAATCATGAATTATATGTAGAAATTTCACGAATGTAAAAACATATATTTCAAAAAATTTTTGAAAGATTTTTATAAGTAAAATAATATTGTATCGCTATTTGCAAAAGGAAAGATATGGTGCAGTATAATCAGGAGTGATTTTTATTACAATCTTTATAAAACTTTAATTAAATGTTTTAGAATCCTGAGCCACTTCTCAACAAAACTGTAAAACAGTACCTGTCCAATTCAGAAGGAAAATTATTATTTTCCTTAGTTAGGGAGTTCCTAGAATACTTTGGTCTTGACTATACAATATCTGTATATGATCCTGAGACGTACTTTGGAAAGGAATATAACTATGTAGGAAGAAATAAGTTGTGTGAAGAGTTAGGTATTGATTCAACCGAGCCATTGCTGGGAGAAATTCTGAAAAATAGCATCAATGGTGCCTTCAATAGTTCACAAAAGGTATTTTCTTCATTTAATTTGATTATTGGTACAATTAGCTGATGAGAATGCAAAAAAATGTTTTGGAAATAAGAATATTTGATTTGAGAAATGTTCTGATCACAATATTTGTCTTAATCGAAATAATTGTCTGTGAAACATCTTATATTATAGCTAAATATTTCAAATAAATTGAAATATTATATAAATTGTCTAGAAGATAGCATATATATTTATTATTAATAATTAATTTTTCTCTTGCAGAGCAAAAATAGCAACAGACACGACGAAACGGATGAAACCTCAACACACTTTGCAAACGCGACATTCGAAGTGTCCGTTCCCAAAATAATTCATACTGAATCCGTGTCGTCGTCGAATGACAATGATTCCTCTGAAAAGTTAGATACTACTTCCGAGCAGAGTCCGAAAGTTCCAATAAACGTGACAATAACGGACAAGAAATGCAAAGATCCGCCGGCCGACTCCGATATTAGGACGGATACGTCGGATAAATGTCAATCTTCTCTCAGGGAGAGTACAACAGACACTGAAGGAATTGAAGGTAACAGGAACAATAATGTAAATTTTGATAAGTCCACCGCAAGTCCACACGGCGCATGCACGACGACGAACGACGTGGCACAGGAGACTGATAGTACCGTTACGTCTAATCAAACGAGCCCACTGAACAAATCCGAGTCCCTAATTAAGTTCGACGAGTCTATAGCGATTGACACGCAAGCGAATCAAAACGAGGATGTAACTAAGCAAAACAGTATAAATAGTTTGGAGCTAAGCATAGAGAATAATGTACAAAGTAAGAAACCGGTTAACGCGGGAAGCAATTTCGGGAAGACTTTATATTTTGACGAGATTATCATCGGCGGTGAGCGGAAGAACGTTAGTACAATGAATAAAGCCGAGCCTTTTCTAGAAGACTTGCCGAGTATAAATCAAAAAGCTAATTCTATATTTGGCGATTTGCCGCCACTGAATGGTAAAAAGGCCAACATCAATGATCTGAAGGAATTAATGAACATTAGTCTTGGTGAGTTGTAAAAATATAATAATAATAATAGAAAGCTCATACATATTTCTTTTAATAATATGCGAATTTATGCAGAAATACAAGAACAATACATTTTTTCAGCTGCAGATGGTATCGATCACTATGAAGAGGACTTTGTGTCGTCTGCATCCGGTAGCGCAAACGAACAAAGTCCCTCTAAGGAGCCGGACAAACTGGACAGTCCTCTGAAATCGCGAACGAAGAAAGAGGAAAAAACTCCCAGTGCCCGCACTGAGGACTTGAGCGAAGAGATCGAAGAAGTGGACGAAATCTTGAGTAGTACCTCCTGCGTAAGTAAACTCAACTTAAACTAACGCGACCGGCAGCACTGCACGTATTTTTCTCCTCGTATAAATTACGTAACTATGTATACATAGAATCGTTATATTTTAGCTCGAAGATACGAATACGGATAAGAATATATCAAACTTTACGACGGGTATTACCGCGGATTATACCTAGAAGAAGTGTGTAATTTTTGATCGTGTCACGCCGCAGGTCCTCTATGAGAATATTAGGGACTCGTTTCTCTCACGTGTAATCTGTATGAGATCGATATCCTATTGCTAAGGCATCCGCGCGTCTATGCCGACTACTATAAGAATTCAGGAACTCGCAGAAATCAATTCATAGTTTCTGATAAAGGCACTGCCAAGCCGTGGCTCAATACTTATAAGTTACGCTGCATGAAAAGAAACGTAGAAGGAAAAATGTCTGAATGCATATTTCGACAGATGATACGATATTTTTGTACGCTTTGTAAAAATGAGCGATGTTCCGAAACTGTCATAGCTACTATTCTTACAACACTAACAAAGTAAAGGATGAAATATATGCAGAATTGTATTGAATTGTTATATAATAATGAAATATGCAATATTTTCCAACTTTTTAGTTTAGATAAGTCTTTGCCTGTATTTTGAACAAAGAGAAGTAATACATTATTGAGTATTCAAATAAACTTCTTTATTTTATTCAACTTCAGACAGACTACCTTCTACGTTGTTATGTAAAAAAAAAAAATATGCCTAGTATTATTACTCTTATAAGCAAATTACACAAGTGTTATGATAATTTAAAATTAGAGACGACGAGTTACTGCTTATTAGTAACTAATTATATTTCTCTTTTTTTTCTTTTTTTTAACTCTCTATTAGCGTTTTGTTGTGTTTACTGAAGTATCTCTGTCCTTAATTTTATGACTGAACATTGTCCATTACCTCATTTACATAAAGTTACTGGTATGATATTGTAACAATATCAGGAAATCGTCCGTCTAGAAATGGATTGCCTAAAAAATCCATCAAATTATTTTTTCGAACATAATGGTGCTAAGTGTTTGAAGCTAAAGTTATTTATGAAAGTTAAAGTTATCTAAGGGAAAAAAGTAAAAAAAAAAAGATTAGGTGCTTATATATTTTCTTGCAGCCATGATTTGCAGGAAATTATGATTAGTAAAAGCTGTAGACTAGAAATATTAATTTTTGGGTAATCCAACTCGATTGCAAAAAAAAAGAAGAAAAAACATTTTAATATCAATATTTTATGCCCCGTATAAGATGCAATAACTAAGTACAACTCAAGGTGGATCAACTAGATGCTTGACAAATCAAAATCTTTTTGTAAACAAAAAAAATGTATAGCCAGCTACCTTTACAAAAGAATTTTCATTGACGGCTAGACTATGTTGTAATAATATTACCGATATTAGAAACTGTCTGGTTCGAACGAAGAAATTCCGTCACTAGGTAACATTTAATTCAGCACAACTAGTATACATTCATCACATAACAATTAGATGTCGATTAAAAAAAAATAATCAAAGGAATACCATGCTCAAATACTTGTAGCGTTTTTTTATTATATATATATATATATATATATATATATATATATATATATATGTATGTATATGTATATGTATATGTATATGTATATGTATATATTTGTATACTACCGTATTTAATTATTATTGCTCCATCACATATTTATGAATTATGAATGTAGACGTCGAGACAAATATTTATTTTGATAGCGACTAAGTATGCACGCATAGTAACGGAATCGCTTTGGTTCGAACTGCCGTTTGTCCCGATATATACATTTAAAACAGGTGTGTTCCTGGCCAATCAGCGTGGTTACATTCTATTATCGATACAGTAATTTTACAAACAACGGGATTCAGGACTGCATTTGAACATTCCTACGCTCTGTAGAATCTAGAAGATAGATACATTCCATTGTTATTAAGATAGGCGTACTTTTCGTTGCATTGTTACCATTAGCAAGCACGTTTACAGGATAAGTATATTTCTCATCCTAGACTGTAAGTGGAATAATTTAAGGAGCATTTTACATTTGTCGCAGGAATTACAGGTTTTACTCGAATTTTCGGAGCAGCAGGAAGTTCGTTTTTAATAGGATTCATTTGCAGGGTATTTCTACGCTCTACGCGTACATTTCTACTTGAGACGATTTTGAACACTTTCTTTAATCTTAAGACGACAATGCGGACTATATATTACTTATATATCTTGTATTAAAAAAAAAAGAGAGAATAGGATTTGCGTTGCGTTTCCTTCACTTCTTTCACACATTTGTAACATAAATATATATCTAGGAAACGTGTAAAATCTATCGTCACTTTTGAAAGATGATACTGAGATGTAAGCTACTTGTCTCGTATGCCTCGTAATGCTTTTGAATGTATTTACTCGTACTCGGGGATGATCGATATCTTCTTTTTGATACACTGTTGTTTGACGCAGCTTTTATGGGAAGAACATATCCGATGCAAGTAATATATTAGATCAAGTAATAATTTTATTGTGAAAAATGTATGTACATATAACACAGCGGTGTTTAAATGCACACTTCACAGAGTGACAAGCTCGATATTTTCAGAATAGATAGCCATAGTCATAGTTTATTCATAATCCACAGTTTGAAATTTTCATGAGCAAAGTATTAGTACTAATAATACCTGCTTTACAGTTACTTCTTCGCATGGTCGCAGATAATTATTTTGTAACCACGTTGAAACATTGGTAGCTATACCGTGCCTTTTAGTGTGTATGAAATAATTATAAAGGATGCAAATAAAAATACTGTGGAATTGTGGGTTTTACAAAACACCTATGTTACTTATTTATGATTTTCAAGTATGATGTAATAATATGTAATCATGTATATGTTATTTATTTTATAAAGATTTTTCTCTTTTGCAATCATTGCCTATTCTTTTCTTTTCTGCATCCTTCCAAGGATGCATTTTGTCCCATTATAATCATTGTGATGGATAGGTGGTATCACCTGTATTTCTTTAGTTTGCATTTACAAAGATATTTATTACTACATAAAAGATATAATTATGTATCGTAATAAATAACTAAGCTTCTGCACTTTTAATAGATGATGACATTATATTACATGTTGTACTTTGACTATATCATACATCATTTACAGTGGTATACATGTTAAATTTTTGAATTAAGAAAACCAAGGACCTTATTCAGTGAAAATGATAATAATGTATCTTCACTGTTCATCAGATAAAAAAATGTATCTGTACAACTAATGAACACTGTATGATCCACTTTGATTACATCATTCAATTACAGCTTGGTTAACAAATAACAACATATTTCGCCAAATTTCTATATTTACATTCTGTTGCGTTCTCTTTGGAGTCGTTCACTATATGTTTTAGACACAAGATTAAATGAGTCCATGTATCGATCCATGCACATTGCTATACATTTCTGTAAACAAATCCAGTCACTTAAGTTAAAAAATTACAAAATGACTATCAGCTCAACTAAAAAAACAAATAAAGTAAATTGAAAAGGATCTGTACTATAAAATTATGAATGACTAATTATTCAAATTAAAAATGGCTTCACTATAAAAATTTTTTTTTTACCCAATTTTTTTATTCAAGGTTATGTTTAGTGCAATGAAATGCTTACTTGTTCCGAGCTGTCCAGTGAGGTGCCCGGCTTGCTTATGCACTTTTTGAAGCACTTTTCCGTCATTTTCTGTAAATATGCGTAAAAACATGTAACGTTCAGTCAGCCAAGGCTAGTTGTGGAAGAGATGTTGTGTAACGATACCGTGAGCAATTCCTGAGCATTGGCGACTGCTATTTGTTGTTTTACTTGTTGCATCAGCTCATCTCGTTGTGAACCCGTTAAACTTCCCGTCGCCAACGCGTCCATTGTGAGAATTATATATGTGTAAAATTTTTATAGCGATAAAATTAAAAATAGTCAATCATTCGTCCTAAAAATTTCAGCCACGAGTTAAACTAACCTCACCTCGCCGGTGCGCAAACACGTGAAGTTGTAACTATGGCTGCATTTACATAAAACGAAATCGACTCTGTTGTATCGTCATTTTGCATACATTTTTTTAATATGATTGGTTGCGATACTATTCCATATCCACTATCCAATTGCAAATCGCTACTCTCTTGTTATGTCGTGCTATGCAAAAATTGCATATCAGCCTTTAAATTTAATCAGCGCCATTTTTAAGAGATCTTTACGCATATATTTTCATGGAAAAAATTCGACACTTGCTGATCAATTAAAGAAAGATATTAATTAAATAATCGAGATAGATATTTAAAATTACAGTAAATTATTAAAACGATAATAAACATACAAAAAACAAAATGGGGAGAAAAATAGGAAGAAAAGCGAATGCTAAGACGAAAACTGGCAACAAAGTAAGACTGCATATTTATATTTCAATGCCGGTATATATTACATACGCACTAATTATTTATATTCTTTTACCTTTGTAGAAATCTGAAAATGCTAAAAAGCTTGAAAAGAAGCAAGTAATGATTATACACAAGTTGCAAGAAGCAGTGGAGTCTCACACTGCTACTTACAATTCAAGTAACGTTGGTAAGTTGAAAAAGGAATAGTAGTAATGAAGAAATTTCATTCAACATTGATTATGTTTTTTAACTAATATTGCTTATGCATTAATATTTTTAATTAATTTAAAAAATATTTTTAACTAATGATTGAATTACTTAATTTAGACTACATTCCACAAACAAAAAGCAACGTGCAAGCATTTCCAAGAAGAGACTCTACATTTGTCCAATCAAATACAAATCGCAACGAAGATATTGTGTATAATAATTATAAGTGCTACCGTTGCAAACATTTTTTGAAAATATCACCGAATTTGTCTCGACCATTCTGCAATAGAGTATCCACTGTCATCGGACAGTGCGAGGCTAATTTGAGTTTCATTCAAGCTATAGTCTGGTTGAAATCTGCCACTACCTATGCCTCGCAAATACCAATCGATAAATTGCGACAAATTTTTGATAAATGGAGTACACGCAATAAATGTAATTACTCTGAAGAAAGGGGTACCGATGATGGTCACATTGAGCAATTATTCTTTCCTATAACTGAAGATCTATCGATTTGCAAAGAGACCGCAATTGAGAATAAATCCACGTCGCTAACTCTTTCTGATATATCATGTGATGCATCACCTCAAATAATTTATGAATCACATAGCAAATTTTCACGAACAAATGAGGATTTACAAGATGAAAACTTTTCACAAACAAATGAGGATTTACATGATGAAAACTTTTTACAAACAAATGAGGATTTACAAGATGAAAACTTTTCACAAACAAATGAGGATTTACAAGATAAAAACTTGGCATTGATTAGAAATAAATCTCTAGTCTTCACACCACAAAGATATACTGATTGTGAGATGAAAAACATAAGAAACGAGGAATTTATACCAATAGATATTATAATTCCAGAAACAGATTCTGAAACAGAATTGGAAAACTTTGAGTATCTACGCGATATGTTTGACGATGTGCCTGAGCATCAAAAAGAATGTATTGAAAAAAATACCTTTTTTAGTCAAGAGAAATGTGCTGACAATTGGGATGAATGTAAATCTATTTTGTCGGACATGAACCGATCTATCAAGTCATTTAATAATTACGATTTTACTATCTTATCAAGTGACTTTGATTTAACCGACTTGCAGCGTGACCCTCTAGATGAAATTCTAACTCAAATAACTGAAATGAACATTTCTCAAATTGACGACGCGATGCACTGGGAGCAGAGAAGCGCCGGTAATTCTCAAGCCGATCAGATGCAGCTATCATTTTCAGATGTTCGCAACGACGATAACTTTAAGACCAACGTCGAATTTCAAATTGACGATAACTATATCGATACGCGAACGGAGAACAACGACGCTGCTGAAAATGTCGAACAGGATAGCGCCTACAGCACGTCGAGTATCTGTGCGTTTAATCACGACTCTGTACTAAAATCTTGCGATGACAATCAGCGCACGCCGGATACTAACACCGAACATCGTTATGAATTGCGAAGTCGCAAAAAGAAGCACGAGGAAGCAATAAGCTCTCCCTCGATAATAAGATTAAGTGGCATTAATAACAAACGCTCTGCGCCGAAAGAACAGTCTTTGCCGAAAAAGCATAAATCGGAGCAAGCGGAAAATTTGTTAAAGGAAAAAGAGGGAAATAACGAGGAAATGGTTTCCGCCAACTGGTTGAACTTCACTCTGGACTCCCTGAATTTGGAACAGGTGATTCTCGAATCTCTCAAAGTAATTCTGTCGCGACTCTGCGACGAGAAAACGGCAGAAGAATACGCAACGCGATGTTGGAAGGGCAGTCTGGAAGAGGAAGCGGTGAACGCGGTGTTGAATGTCTCCGACATTTTTAGAATGGAAAAGAAGCCGAACGTTTGCAGAAAAGAAATCGTAACGGCGATAACCAAGACTTTCGACGAGATGACATGTGTGCAATTAAATAAGGTATAATGAAAGTATATCATATTCATATACTATGTTACACACTTTTTACAAATATCATTGAGCACATGTATAATAATATATATATATTGACAATACGCAAGTATATATTACAATAAATAATTTTCTTTTCAGACGTCCGTGTGGAATTATCGCGTACGAATAATTCTGGAATTGTGTAATTCGATATCGATATGCGTTGAGGTAATCGATCATCTAATAGCGAAGTTAAAACCGCTTCAATCTACGCTGAGCGAGGCAATGAGTCAGCCGATCACTTCAAATCAACTAAATTTCAGCATCATGATAAATCGGTTGCATTTTATTTTCTACGCGCTAAATATCGCTCTGCAAAAATATCGCACGATTGTGCCAAGCGGTCGACAAGCTCGGTCTGCGGAAAACGAAATACCTCACGTAACGGATCTTTGGAAGGCGCGCTACGTCGACGAGGAACTTGAAGACGCGGGCTTAAACACAGATGTCGCGGAACAACAATGGGTAAAAGCGTTGGAGAATTTTAAAAATTTTGAATTTGCTGAAAAATCAGTTTCGCTCCTTCACATATTGCTTTCGTGATCCGTTACAAATATATTAACAAGTATTTATATTGGTATTATAACAAGTATTATAATAACATTTTTTAACAAATCTTGAATATGTTTCGCGCTTTTCTCAACATTTAGAGCAATAAAATGTTTCATCCATTATTTTAGTCATTAAATAAAATGTTTCCACTGTACACGTGGCTGTTTAAAGAATTAAAAGTTGCCAAACTTAAGATTTAATAATATTAAAATAAATATTAGATTCTTGCTGAGATTATGATTCGTAGAATTGGATTCCTCACTTCTGTTTAACTGATCTTCCGTTTCTGCGGGATTTCTCACGGACCATCCGCATAAAGATTGCGGATTCTGCGGTATCGTAACGAAAGCAATGTCTATTAAAGTCTGCAACGGGCAAATCTCTGTACAATTCGGCAGTGACAGAGAGATCGTCTTGTCATCGATACCAGTGTAATAATTGATCTGAAATAATTGCATTGCTTGAAATTTAAAAATAATATCTAAAACTTAATTCAATTTCAATATTCATAAGCAATTCGACGCGAAATGATTTAAAAACAGAAAAGATAATCACCGGCAGATAAAATATAAAGTAGAATACCTTCATTCCGTATAAGTTGATATCGTTGTCAAAGTACAATTCAAAGATCAATGCGGCTGCTTCGTTGGGAATGTGAGGCGACCAAAGATCGAGACTTTTTAGAACTCCGACGATATTTCTTTCGTCGCCGCTGTACAGCATTAGTTTTCGTTTTTTCGATATATCGCCCATTGAGTACTTCAACGAGTTGCCGATAATTTCTTCTAAGAGAATTCCACCGTTAAGCTGCCTCTGCAGAAGAGTCTCCGAGAGTAGATCATATTCCAGCAAGGACACATTGTACATTGCACCATCGGGAAACACGTCCATCGCCCAATTCGGTAATATTTCACTTTGGTCAGCCTAATCAGATATTTTTATTGTCACATAAATCGATTACAGATTGATGATTTACAAAAGCAGAATAATTTTCTCTTGTAAATACTTTTTAATCTGTAAGATTTAATAAATCTGTAGAAAACGAGGATTTACATTTCTTAATAAAATTATTTTTTAATTATTTTAATGAATTAATTAATTTCCGATTTGCAGATTTACCATCGTTTCTAAAATCGCATACAAGACAGCCACATCCGACGGTGTATTGATTTCCCTCTTGGTGTATTCAGAAAGATGGTCGAAGAGAGGTTGATACTGCGCCATCATCTTTCGAGTTTCATTCCTTCGCAATATTTCGTCCATCTGTGAAACAAAATTTGGACACAGAGAACCCAGCAGTAACGTGTCGTCCTCTAATTCCAAGTAATCTGCAAGAATTTGTCGCTATTATGTAGATTTCTTCGAGCATATCGCTTGATCTATACTTTACATACTATATCTCTCTCTATAATTTATTTTTACAAAATAATTTGAAAAAATGGGCAAATAATTTTGCAAATCACAAATCGTGTTCCGATTTGGAAGAATTAATCTGCGCAAAGAAAAAGGATTCTACATTAATTTTTGCTAACCGGATGGTATCGGCTGCCAGTTGAAACCTTCCATCCACGTTTGACTATTCGAGGGAGGCCACAAACCGGCGTTAACAAGCTGGGCCGATAACATTGACAAGGTGTACTCCGTCGTGCGCATTTTCATAATGTCGGAAAAATATAGATCGCCTAAAAAGTCTCCGTAGATCTTGCGCAAATGCACACCGAAATTGTACATGTTGAGCTTCGCGTTCTGTACAATCGCAGTATTTATGTGATAACAGTAACATTTTCTTCTTTAATCTCAAATTAACATTTAAAATAGAATATCAGAATGATGTTATTGTACGCACTTTCGACATGTCCGTCGCAGCGGAAGTGAAGTATTCGTATGATAAGTTTTGCGGGATGCTTATTTCCGGATCATTTTTCGCGTTGTTTTTCTTTGGCGCGTGCAATTTATGTGCGAACAACTGCAATCATATGTTATATTATACTTTTTTCTCATTTTATATATACATTTAAAATATATATACTTACTACATGCACCAATTTTAGTTCCGGCACAGCCAGACTGGGAATTATACAGATTTGTAATGCAAGCGTAATGCAGATGAGATAGAATTCATTCATTTTATTTTTTAATCTCGTCTCGTGTGTTTTAAACGCGTCTCTCTTCTTCTTAGCTGACAGATCTTTAACAAAAAATACAAATATAAATATCTGACAACATGAGACTGAAGAAAAGACAATTAAATAAAGATAAACTTCCAGATTTTTTGACAACAATAAGGAATCTGATAATGATACGATAAAGTTATATTTAATGCAATGAAAGCGAAGGAGAACAAGTCATAACATATAATTAAATAATTGAACTCTGATATTATGATCTAAGAATAAGAACATGAATTTATCTTTCTCTGAAGTTTTAAGTTAAGAAAGAAAATTTAACACAAATTGATTGACGCTAATTTTCAATCGCAAAATTTATTCATTTTTTCTTTTTTAAAATCAACATTTCTTTAATGAGAAAGTAACATTTTTAACACAAAGAATATTTTAAAACTTAACGTGCTAGAAAATTTCAAACTGATATATAGAATATAATATTTTTACATCATTTAGCTTTTACATATTTTTATATTTTTAAATTTAATTAATTTTCCAAATAGAAATTCATAAATAAAATAAAATAATTAAAGTTTCAGATACATGTTACATCTGATATAGTATATCTGATGCTTGATTATTTTCTTTTAAATATTTTAGTTATAATTTGTTTGTTTTTAAAATCAAGTGAATTTAAAAATATACAAAAATTAAATATGTAAAGACCGAGATGTCTCATGATCAGACCGGAAAAAGGCTCATGTATTCTTGATCGAGTGGTCATATAAACTCGCGATAAGAATTGTTTTCCTTCCATCTACAACCGCAAAGACAGTTGGTCTGCGGCGATGCTTCCGAGGGATGCAAAAAAAAACCACTGGCTACTCGTGTCCGTATCTAGTTGATAAATATAGATCCGCATCATCAGGGTATATAATTGAGATATGTACGCCATCACACACAACTAGGCGATAATTCATTTTTCATACGCTTTGTTTATCTAATCTACACTTTTTTTACTTAATTATCAATTTATATGACAACTATACTCAAATTGTGATACATAAAATATTTCACACATATGCGATAACACTCAAGCTACATCTCATACACAATCATAATTTGAATTTTAAATTTGCACAACAATTAACAAGTTAATTTCATTCGGAATCACTCCTCACATTTCTTCATCAATCCGCGATTTAAGCAATACTTTTGAAATGCTCACCATTCGAATCTTCGTCTTTCCTCACAGAAACTGAACAAACACGGAATGATTCAATTGCCGTCGCGCACCTCTTGATTTTTCTGTTCGTTAATATGCCATCCTGCTTTGGTTCATACGACGATAATAATCAAATGACTTGGCCTCGGGAGATAGGCGGACTTATTCGAGATTCATTCGGCAAACAAGCTTCAAATACAGGATCAACCTACCTGAAATTACATTACCTTATGAAAAGTTTTATCTTATTAATCACACGATAATGTATAGTAAAATAAATGTATAAATTAAAAAAAATATATTAAATATATATAAAACTCTAATTATATATATATATATATTAAAGCTACAATTTTCAATCTTCAGTTTGACACAAATCAGCATTACAATTATATAATAAAAATATCTAAAAATGCAGCTATAGTATTTTTTATCAATGTTATCAAATTGTGTATTAATTGCGAAATATGTAGCTGTTTTACATATGGTTTTGATAAAAATCATGCGCTTTGCTGACAGTCTTGATAATTATTAACATCCTGCCGCGTGTAAGAAAAATGTATAAATGTATAAATGTATTCTTCCGCCAAGGACTTATATTGTTATGCCTGTCAAGAAAATCATTATTACGTTCGCAAATTATTTATATAAGTAATTAGAAGAATTAAAATACTTGAATTTACCAATTACATTAAATACTATTTAAATTTAACAATCACATTAGACAGCATCAAATTAAATTATTATCAACCAACTCAATAAACACGTAAACCTGATTGATTCGTAAATAGTAAAATAAAAATATTGATAGTAAAAATAATAAAAATGATACGATGGATAATTTACAATTATACATCAGTTTTATCAGATTTCATATTATCCTGTTGCCGTTTTATTGACAATAATCCATGTAATCTATGTAATCCATGCGTGCTACACGTGTTTCACGTGACGTATCAGTCATAGTAAGCGCACGAAAGCGTGATCGACGATGAGGATGTACGCTAATTGCGGTACAATAATGATAGTGTCGCATTGTATTTCTTACAAAAGCCAATGATAAGCAACTGTCAAGGTTTGCGAGACATAATTTCGGTGTTAAGAATCAGACGATATAATACCGTTTGGTGCAACATCATGCAACTGCAGTCTTATCCTTGACAAAGTATCATGTAAATTAATTTTTTTGGCTCAATGATACCAGAATAAATTGCACAAATCACGCACGCTGTATTCTTGGATTATAAAAATATCAATAAAATTCAAAAAAAAATTAATGAAATGATATTAATATCACAAATATATATATCCTGTACTTCAAATTCAACATATGCGGATAATGACGTAAAAGAACATTGATTTCCACACCTGAGGACTGTGTCATTAAAGTAAACAAGCGTGACAGATACTTTTATAATTTATGCGCTTGAGAACGCAGTCTCAATCAATTTTTTTTTTTTTTTTTATATTACGCAATCACGATTATGCGAATATACATGTAAGATTCCAACTTCTACTTAAAAATTAGACTACGAATGTTACGCAATGTTATAATGCTCAGGTAATAACCACCTGTCTAAACGAGCGATACTATGTATTTATCAGACAAGTACTTAGTGGAAAAGCCAGAAAAATGTTAGCATCACTCGAATGGGCATTTCCAACGTTCGTGATCTAATAAGTAATTTTTCCATGTTGCAAAATTTCGATTTTTTTTCGCATTAATTATTTCGCTGAAAATCATTTATTTTTAATCGTTTATTCACTTAAAAACTTCTGTCTCAATCTTTTTCACGAGGAAAGAAATTACTTTAACGGAAAATTCATGATGGATAAAAATGCAGTAAATTTTTATGTTTTACAATTAAAAAAATATTGAAATAATAACTTGTTCGTATTTGTGCTTTTGATCAATGATGGAATTTTAAATGTGGCATATCATTAATTATGCTAATCATGTATATTATTACATTGCGAGACAAACGATATATTAATGCGAGTAAATTAAATCAATAAATCGATGTGCGTTAATTTCAACTCGAGAAATATTCTTTGTTTCAAAAAAAGCAATCTTAATATAATATGTAATAATAATAGGACGGATATATCATAGTTAAAAAAATGTTTGATCATCTATTTGTGACATAATTCCACCAAGGTCGTTTTATCCTTCGAATTTCTGTCTCAAGTCAAAATTATTGTGTTTTATAAGAATATGCGCACATGGTACATCCGGCAAATCATAAAATATAAACTTATCTACATCCTTTATAGATTAGACTCTAATCTGATTGCGGTCTGCGGATTACGTTCACAAATGCACTACCGCGCGCGCGCGCGCCCCGCCCGCGCGCGCGCAGGACATATCACAGAAAAATAATTTTTTTTTAGTTACTTTAATTGCGATAAAAGTTACTTATGAAAGCGCTGATGAGATTTATTTCATAGTATTGTAGATAATATTAAAAATAAAAATAATACAGCTCGTTTAACGTATTATTAAATAACAAATTGGCGATAATTCGTCAGTATTAAAAATCTTTATTAATAATTAGTCTATTGAAATATAAAATTGCAGTTTTAAATATTTGCAAATTATCATAGCTAAACTTTAAAATAAATTGCAAGTTTCACAATCTATTCTATATTTGTTCAAAAAAAGATTTTTCGATTATTATTATGTTCATATATCCTCACATGGTTTGCAAATAATCTCGCTACTGAATTCCTAATGATATTCTTGTTTTGAAGCAAATAATAGACTGATCACTGTATTTATGAAAATGAGGCAATTGTCCTACAGCTGGATTTATTTTTGCATACGGAGATAAGGTATCCATATTAGTTGAAAATATTCTATATCGCGACCTAGTTTAATAATAAGCAGATAAGCTGAATACTTTGTAACATATTGTAATGTGTAATTATCGCATTGTGTATTGCTACTCAGCAGTTGTAATGAGTTCATATAAAATTTTATCTCGATTTATTCATTATTTAATTATATTGTTACTAACTAAAAGGTGCAAATATTTTTCAATGTCGCTTTAATGTTTCTTAGGATTGTTTAACTTTATTAGTTGCTGTCTAGAGATGTTTTTAAGATAAACACGGATTATTATTATACATTATATAACAATGTTAAATTATTCTTTTTATTGGCTAAAGAATTCTTAAGAAAATGAGATATAATTATTGTATGACGCGTTTAATACGCTTCTCACGTTATGTAATGATCGCTGATTGCTTCAAGCTGATTGCTTATTCTATAAATGTACAAAAATGACATCTCGACGTTTTATTATTTATTTAGAAATTTATGACAAAGTTGTAACACTCATAAAAACTATTATTTATGTAGTATTGTCACTGCTTATTTTATTTAATTAGGTACTCATTTGTATCATAAATGTATGATTTATGATACTTTAAAGATAACATCGTGTTAGAATGATATAGAAGTAGGACTATAAGACTTGATCGATTTCCAATGGAAAATCCAATTATTCATCTTTCTCAAAACATACGTGAAATCTTCACGCACTGTGATTCTTTCGCAACTTTTACCGTGGTTATTAGATCGCAGTGCGTCAGACAGAGCATCGTTTATCGGAAAGTCCTGCAAGGAGCTGTGGAATTCTCCCAGCCTTTCACGCACTCTGACGTCTTTTCCATCCATTCGCGTCTTATGACGTGCATATTATGACGTCATCTGAAACGAGTCGGACAGGAAAATGGAATCTGGTGGGGTATACATACCTTAAAAGCCTTATGTGATATGCGAAAAACGTTAGTATTCAATAAATCCTTGCGATTGTTATTTCAAGATAGTCTCCTTCGATTCAAGTGCGAGCCAGATAAACATCGGAGTCAAGTAAACGTTGAAGAATTTGATTCCTTCAAAATAGCACAAACACGTATGTCGATTTTTCTTAAAATATATTTTATTGTTAATACAATCCCAATTAATACATAATAAAATATCAAATTTTAAAAGAATCTATGATATAACAGAATTTGTAAATTTAAATGCTCAATAACACAATTCTTAAAGACTTTTTTAATATTTATTTTGCTATTTATTTTAAAATTTTCTATTTTTGAATGAAAACTTTAACTTTAAATCTAATGACATTATGTATTCAAATTCAAGGTTTCTACAAAATGGTGTCGTTCTGTAATTTGGTCAATTCTCTATCGATCATTCTAGTCATCAGTTTAAATGCGATTCTAATCGCAGCTGTGGAACCTGAATTGAAATTAGTACACGTGGTAAGTGAGCACTCGATTATTAATTTGAAATAAGAATTAAATGCTTTGAGTGAAATTATTTTCTAAATAGTTTAATTCGCGATTGTTATGTTTATTTACACTTTTCTAGGTGTTCAGACATGGAGATCGCACACCCGATAACAACGGTCGTGAAATGTTTCCGAACGATCCGTATATAAATTACTCCTTTTATCCGACAGGTCTTGGACAGTTAACCATGGTAAATACAACGCAACATTATTTAAAATATAACGCATTTTAATTAATTATTCAAGACGCATTAACACAATTTAACTTCTGTATATTTTAATTTCAAAATTTTATCGTCGTTTTATTAATTAGACAAAATTGATATATTTGATAATTTTATCAGATGGATTTTTATCAATTCTTTTTTGATTGTACCTATTTTTTAAAATTAATTAAATACGATTCTTGGAATTTGACAATTAATTGAATTTGCATGAACTTTTATAGGAGGGCAAAAGGCGCGAATATAGATTGGGTCAAATCTTACGTGGCAGATATGATGAGTTCTTAGGCAGTCTGTACAAGCCAAAGCTCATCGTAGCTCGTAGCTCGGATTTCGACAGAACGAAGATGTCCTTGCAACTCGTTCTCGCTGGCTTGTTCCCGCCTAAAAACGTTCAACGATGGAACCGTTTTGTCAATTGGCAACCGATCCCGACATCGTACATTCCACGTGTCGACGACAATCTCATCCTCACCGACGAGTGTCCGCAGTAAGTAGCATTCCTACTAAAAAACTAAAAAATCAATGGCGAATAGAAACAAGATTAAAAACTTTGAACAATTTTATATTATTCTAACATGCAAAGACATTGATAACGTTAAAAAATTTAAGTTATAAAAAAATATAATATCTAAAAAATTAATAGAGAAAACGTATTTTCAGTAAATTTAAAAATTTTAATGTGACGAAAAGTAGAAAAAACATTCTTCACTCTTTGCTCAACAATTGATAGACAAGAGATTTATATGTAAAATTATTTTCAGGTACCTTGACGAGTACGAGCGAGTATTAAAGTCACCCAAAGGGAAAGCGAGAATAAACCAATTCCGAGATGTGATGGGCAATTTGACGAAGCTAACCGGCAAGAAAATAGAATCGCTTTCGGATCTGAACTTCCTTTATCACACTTTCGCAGCGGAGTCTTCCTTGGGGTTGCCTCTTCTCGAATGGGCGTACGATTACTTTCCTTACGGTCCATTGTTCGATGCGATTGTGGCCGCATACGATATTACCAATTTCACTCCTCTATTAAGAAGGCTCTTTGCTGGTAAGTTCTGTTTCCTTAAACAAAAACGCAATTCAAAATTATTTACATGTATATTAATAATTATATCATTAAAATTTATCGATCAGCGAAAGATTGATTTGATAAAGTAACTTCTATTTAGAATTTCGTCATTACAACATCGACACGTGTTCGTCTGTTTCAGGACCATTGATCCGCGAAATGACAGACCATATGATAGCTGCACAGAATCCGAACGCTGCACCGGCAACGAGGATGCATTTGTACGGCGGTCACGAAACCAACATTGCGTCGTTGTTGTACGCATTCGGTGTGTACGAGCCGCATGTACCTGAATATTCTAGTGCAATTATTTCAGAGTTGCAACGGATTGGCGATGAATATTATGTAAAGGTGAGTGTCTTATCCTATAAAACGCGTTATCTAATAAAATAGAGTGACTTTCAATTATTAATATCGCGCGTTGAATTCTCCAGCTCTTGTATTACCAAGGCATTCCTTCGACCATCAAGGAGCTTAGAATCCCAGGTTGCGATGTGCTCTGCCCCTTCGAAAAGTACTTGGATCTCATTGAAGATCTGATCCCGTCCGACGAGGAATTGGTCTGCGACAAGCGGCAGACTCCGGATTTCGCCGGCACAAAATATCCCGCCGGCATGGAAAACTACATATACAATTTAATTAGGGACTCGAAAACCAAGCGATCAATGCGTTATTAATATATTGAGAGAAAGTCTAAACATATAAAACAAATAGGAATAGTTGCGCGCTCTCTTTGCCGTGAATATCATTTTTTTTCATAAATCTCCTTATTTATTTAACTAATAATTAAGCATTCGTACATGCACTAATTAAACCATATTTAAACGATTTTGTAAAAAGTAGAATTAAGAGAGACTGATAGAAACTCACTAAAATGTAAGTTTAACTGTTTAAGTTATAAATTTTTAACCCTCGAAAAATTGAAAATTGTTTTTGAAACTGATTATAATTTTTCTTTGTTCTTTTATTGTATAGCTTTTTATAACTCGTTTTCTGTAGAAACTAGTTATTTAAGCAAAGTATTATTACAAACGTATAAGTAAGATAACGAATATATAAGTATATGTAAAAGACAGAAGAGAGAGAGAGAGAGAGACAGACAGAGAATGTGTGAAATAGCTAATAGATTAGAAAAATATAAATAACAAAAGGAAGATAATTCCTTAGAAACTAGTTCTTTTTATATACAAAGATATAAGTTATATAAAGAAAATAAAAAAAATAGATTGATAATTAAAGTCGATGTAGCATTCCTTCTTTTTCCATCTCCAAACATTATTATGATACTCTTTATTTTTCTCGTAATTTTCCCAATTTATTGTAATAAGCAGTCTTAAAAGTCTTACGTAAATACTTTTTTACGATTGCACATCAAAGTGTATATATATATATATATCTCGTATTATATAAAAAGAAATTAATTAATTATATCAAAGATATCAATCTTTATTCTAAAGATATGAACTATATAGATAAATATTTTTTTGATAAACGTATCAATGACGCTCACGATAAGTATTACTTAAAAATGAACCTAAAAGCATTATGTGCCGAGTGATAAAAGTTAATAGTTGATTGTTTGAATGCCTACACGCGCATTTACGTTTCTACTGTTTCGCGTTGAAAAACGAGCGCAATAAGCTTGTTGACGTTCAGGTAAGTTGATTTTTTAGTTAGTTGAAAAATACTAGCTATTTTCAACTATCAAGTTAAATAGTGAGACAAAAGAAGGAAGTGCGACAGTGTTTGTCAGCATTTTTCGACATAAACAGGAGAATGTTGTGATCGCGCTGTTTGATTCTTTTGGCACATATTCTTACGACAGTCTTTCGGTCGATTAACTTAAACGATTAGTCAATCTTTAAATTTAATTGATTTTTGATAACTGTATTGAATAATCAGTGTCAGCTGAAAAAATACCGATCGTATTCCAATTTTTGGTACCAGAGAAACGTTATCATCAGTACGTATTTTTATTTTTATCTTTGAAATAATTCTTGAAAATTGCAATTATTCGTATAATACAATATCCAATTCCAGACTCTGATTATTTATAATTGTAATTATCCTTTAATACATTCTTTATAACTTCCATAAAAATAATTTTTTTTGCTAACAGTCGCAGATAACGTTAAAAGACATCCTTTTCTGACGCAACACAAGATGTGTAAAGCAAAACTTCAGACTTTCATGCCTTGTTCATTAATATTCATAGACCGAGGAATTTTTATTTAGAGTGTGAACATTTAAATTGTCAATAATTATATAAAAATATAACGTCTTATATTTATATATTTAAATAAAAATTAAATACGAAAACCGTAATCAAAGGCCAACATAAATTCAAAATTAAAGGAGTAAACAAGAAGCAAAACGGCCAAAAATTCGCATCGCCGATCTTTTACGACATATAATAAAAGATCGGCGATGCGAATTTTTATGAAACACATAAGCGATGAAAAATTACTTTTTCATATTAATCGGAAAGCGTTTTGTTTAATTTATTCGATGTAATATTGTAAATCGTCGAATTCCGAAGAAGATTAAATTGTGGTCGAAACGTAAATGTTTTCAAGATTGTTTTCATAATATACTTAGCACGAACACTTAGCCTTGGCTGTTTTGTTTTTTGTTTATATATTTAAATATTTAATTTTTGCTAATCAGAAAGAATCTGGTTGTAAAAACTTGCAACTAAATAACAAATGTGTTAATTATAATATTTAATCAAGTAATTTAATTCTGAATTACTCTTCAATGAAAATTATCTTTTATAACAGCAGGAAAAAAATATTCTGTTATTATGTTAAAAAATGATTGTCTCTTACACGTAAGCAAGTGTTAAAATATATTTTGAAATTTGCAAAATATATTTTCCACCTTATTTTTTGAAATATAATATCACGCTTCATGTTTTAAGTGAGCGGATTATCTAGCATGTGTCGTGAAAAAACAGCCTAATTTTTATGTACATTTTTAACAAGTGTTTATACGGAACTTGTTTTTATCTGCTTGTCGCTATCACGACAATTATCATCCTTCGAGTGAGAATTAACCGTAAGCTTAATGTCATTGCATCTTTAGATTAGGTACCGGCAACATGATCACGTTCCGTACTCTCGGCACTTATCAGTTGATTGCTACAGTCGTCAGTCTAAATGCAATTCTGATCACGGATGCGCAGCCTGAGCTTAAATTAGTCAACGTGGTAAGTGCTACTGAATTGCTTATTGTTAAGATAACAAATTATTTTCCAAAATCTGAGCTAAATTGTTATTAGAATATCGAATCTGTAATAGGTTTTTCTTGGTAATTCTCCAATTTTCAGATATTTAGACATGGCGATCGGACGCCTGATAACAAAAACGAAATGTATCCGAATGACCCGTACTTAAATTATTCCTTTTATCCGGAAGGCTTAGGACAATTGACTATCGTAAGTAACACTATTTCGTATTTGTACTTTTCGAAAAAAGTGAAAAAGATAAATTAAAATATACTAAATAAATCGGGTCAATTTTTTTCAACAAAGCTAATGCTTGTTTTCTAAGAAACAGAACTTTATAACTCCATAGAACAAATTTCTACCAGTTTTTTTTCTAATTTTGAAACAATTTAAGATTAACTGACACACTGACTAAATTTACGCAAATGTCTACAGACGGGCAAGCAACGCGAGTATGAATTGGGAAAATTCTTACGTGACAGATATAAGGATTTTTTAGGCGATATATACTTGCCAAAACTCGTTGTAGCTCACAGCTCGGATTATGATAGAACGAAGATGTCTCTGCAACTCGTTCTCGCTGCGTTGTTTCCACCGTTGAACATTCGGCAGCAATGGAACCGTGATTTAAATTGGCAACCGATCCCGGCGACGTACATAAAGCGCGTCGACGACAATTTCTTCTTAGCTGATGAATGTCCGTTGTAAGTATGATCGATCCTAACAACAAAAATTTTTTAAAGCTACAAGAAATTGGTCTTAACAATATTAATATTGATTTTTCGATAGCTTTGATAAATACATTTAAAAAATGTATTTTAACAAGCATAGAAAATTAATAGAAAAAAGATAATTTGATAATTTTAAATATCATAAATGCGAAGGATAGAAGATACATTTTCAAGCTTTAACATCATCTTTAGGTTTCTCGTCGAGTATAATCGAGTGCTGAATTCACCTGAAACGATAGAAAAAAAGGCTCCATTGAAGGATATGATAAACAAGTTGACGCAGCTAACAGGCAAAACGATGGAGAAGCCTCTTGATTGGTATTACTTGTATCACACTTTCGTAGCGGAGTCATCTATGAATCTGACGCTGCCTGAATGGGCATACGAATATTATCCTGATGGTTTGTTATTCAATGCGATCGTGATTTCGTACGATATCGCCAATTCCACTCCTTTATTAAGAAGGCTGTACGCTGGTAAGTTCAGCATTTTACAATATCTTCAATCTTCATTGCAACACAATACTCGCTCCGTTCCAGGTCCAATTATTCGCGCTGTATTAAATAATATAAAAGCCGCGCAAACTTCGTCAGAAACAAAGATTTATTTATACAGCGGTCATGAAACTAACATCGCGACATTGCTGCATGCGTTCAACGTGTATAAGCCACATGCACCTGAGTATTCCAGCGCAGTTATTCTAGAATTGCTGGAACAAGACAAGCAGTATTACATAAGAGTGAGTGCATTATCGAACAATATATTTCCATGTTTCTAATTAATTTTTTATTATTTATTTTATTAATTTTAATTATACCACAGTGGCAGATTTTTAATTTATGTTTTGAGACACATAGAATATATCTCAAAATTGATGAAAAATATTTTTTATTCATGCAGAGCAACTTTTGTTGATATTGAAATCAGTATTATTCTTCTCTTGCTTCACTTTCCGTTTAAGATATTTTTAAGTAAAGAGAGACAGCTGTGATAATAAGAAAACAAATTACAGACTTAATTATTCATACTGTGTGATAAATTTCCAGCTTTTATATTATCGGGGCATCCCGCCAATCATTGATGTGTTGGAAATCCCAGGCTGTGAAGTACTTTGTCCTTTCAACACCTTCGTGAAACTAACTCGAGACCTGATCCCATCTGATAAAGAGTTGATTTGTGACAAAAGATTGACTACGGATTATGCTGATACAAAATATCTTGCCATGTTACAAAACATAATATACGATTCGATAAAAAAGTTTACTAATTCACTAAATACTAATGGAAATAAGTAACTAAGATAGTAAGTAAAAATGCACCGTGATATTTCTTTCGTAAGACCAAAGTATTTGAAATGGACAATTGCAATTGAATTTAGTATTAAAAAACTCTGCCAAAATGCAAGCCTAAATCATAATATAACTAGATCCAGTATTATCAACTGCGAGATATCTTTTTTCCAAATATAATTTTTTTTATCGTATTCACCTGTTAATCCTTTTTAACGTATTTAATTCTTGTTAAAAGGCTATTTATTAAAACAAAACATATTTATTATGAATATTTATATGCACAGTATAACACATTTAAATGTACTAAAATTATTTGATATTAAATGGATAAAGAAATCCGATGCTTTGAACAAATAATACAAATTGTTTCTTTAAAACCAGCCTCTCCACTGAAGAGAGAATATAAAATATGCTGTAAAAATAAAAGCATCTTCTCTTTTTATTCTCAATACTTGTTATTTATTTTTGCGCATTATGAAAATATGTATTTCTACCTACATAATTCAATTCCTGAACAAAATCTGCTTAATTAAAAAATAACCTTTCCTCAAAGAGCTTCAACAGTTCTTCTCTGGTCATATTATCCCATAAGCAAGTTGTCTCCTCGTCCGATGGTGTCACATCTCGTACAAGCTCTAAATAAGTTTTCAGAGGACAAAGTTCGTTGCAGTCCGCCAGCTTCACGGTTATCAACTTTTCTGTTTTGCCGGTCCATAAGATAATCTATCAAACGCAAAAGCTGATTATTAATATCTATATTGACCTAATAACTTACACTCATGCAAAATAGATAGCTTTACAAAGCGCATACTAAAATATTTAAAAAAATTAAATTAACTAATAATTAAAAGTTCAATTTTTATTATTAAATCTCAATTCAATTAGTATCTGAGTTATAATTCCAGTTTAAATTTTGTCAATTAAATTATTATATAATTACCCTAACGTAGAGTTCACCAGCGTCATCTCGTAACTTCTCAAATATGAATGCTGAACCGTAATCTGGTAAACGCGGCTCGCTGATATTATGGGCTTTGGCAAACGCTGCAATATTCAACTCATGGGCGCTGTATACGTACATCTTGCGTGGAATCCGACTCTTTCCGGTGATGTTCAAATTTTCGATAAATTTCTTAATCAACATACCGCCGTTCAATCGCTTCAACTGAGTCGTGTACGAACAAAGCTCCAATTCAAATGCCATAGTTTCCTGCAGCTTCTTGTACACTTCGTCAGTGCACCACTCCGGTAGAGTTAGATCCAAGTTTTTCTATAAAAAGCGGATGTACAATACGATATAATAATAAAATAAGTAAAATGTAAAATGTTATATAAGAGTCTACTATAAAATAAAATATAAATAATAAAATGTTATAAAGTCCTGTGTAGTCATTAATCATCAAATGTTTATAGAATGTTGAACTTTTGACCATTTCTAATAATAAAATTTTTGTGATAATATAATAACAAATCACATTTTCCAAAAATATATATAAGTTAATGTTTGATATGCAAAATAATACATTTTTATATAAATGTTTGGTTTACCTGTTGCGTTAGTAGATGGGAAAGTTGAGCAGCGCGCAACGACTCTGTGATAATTAATCCAGTTTTCTCACTCAAAAATGTTAAAAAGTCTTTGTAAAATGCAATTTTATCACGGACTTCTTTGGATTTTTTTACCTCTTCTAAAGCTGCTATATATCTACAAAAGATTAAAATTATAATAAATTATTATTAAAATTTATAATTTTTTTTTTATGTAACGTAGAACACATCCATTAAAGAAAATATATTAATATTTATTTTAGACAATTTTTTGGAAGTTTCCGCTTGTGAATAAAAAAAATAGTCATCATAAATATGTAAAAACGTTATTTCCAAAATGTAAAATATATTCATGATAAAAAATAAATATATTAACACTGGACAGTTATGAGGCTGCAGTACTATGTCCACTTCTTTGGGAGTGTAATGCGTAGGAATAGCGAGCCATGGTAAATCCGGATTCCATAATTGTGTTGGATGTGGAGGATATAATCCTGCTAACATCAACTGCAGAGACATTTTCGTCCGGTCGATGTCTGTGCTGACAGCGTAGATATCTCGTGGATGATAAATTGATCCTAGAAAATCGTTGTAACGTTCTCTCAACATTATGCCGATTCGATATTCCGTCAACTTTCCTTTCTGAAAAATAAATACGTATGTATTGCCTGTTTATTACTATTTATCAATAGTTTATCATATTTTTACAGTAGTTTGTCAAAACAGCAGCATGAGTTACAGCTTCAAATGCATAGAGAAAAAAAGAAAAAAAATTTTGTATTAAATATATATTTATATATACAATCAGTATCGTAAAAATATCATTGCACAAGATAATTATACATATACATCAAGCGTTAATTAATATTATATAATTTCTTGTTTATTACTTAAAGATTAAACTTTCAATTAGGTATATATGTATATTAGATAACTTTCTAAGATCTATTAGTTCTACATGCAATTAAAAATATATAAAAACATATCTCGATATCAATATCAAAAAACTAAATCAAAGAAGACTTAAAAAGTCAAAACACCAGAATAAGTACATAATAATTGCATAGTTGCTGTCTTGGCACACTAGCGCAATATTAATAAAAGGATAAAAGCTAAATAAAAATATGAATACAAGTTAATATTATATTCAAGAATATAAACATTAAGAAATGGCCTTGTTTTAAAAATAGCATATTTAAATTTAATGTTTAAATATCAATAAAATTAATACTACATAATATTAATAGGTGCTTACATTAGTCAGTTGGCCAAGACCCCATGGTTCATAAACCGACACATTATATGGATCGTTAGGATACATTTCTTTAAGCATCGGCACACGTTCTCCATGTCTCATTACCTGAAACACATTTTTATTAAACAATTGTACTACATTTTTATAATTTATGATATGAAACAGCATATATATTAACAGTAAAAAATGTAATACAATTCGGCTTTTATTTTATAAACTTTAATTCTTTATTTTTTAATCATGTATGTCGTTATTCTATATATATATACATTACAATTTTGTAAATCAATTAGTATCAATATTTGATAACTATGTAGTAATGTATTTGCATTTCAGCTTTTACTTACCACTTGAATCAATTCCAAGTGAAACTCAGATCGTCCTAGGAATACAAACAAACTGAGCAAGAGCAGAGATACATGTAGATGCACATAATTCATATTTGCGACTGGTCACGAATACAATACGGATTGTGAAAAATGAAAAATTGAGAGCTATTATATTTTCTTGAAAGATCGACTACACGCTGATCGACAAAATGTTGATCTGTAGACAAGTTATCATTCAAGTTGTTCGATCTATTTATATGTTTTCCACTCCCCATATTTGTTACATGGAACTTTGTATCATTGAGATCATTCTACAAAAATGGTGTATTATCTGTTTCAAAGGTTAAGTAGAACGAAGAATATTTTATAAACACATACACAAACATATATACATATTTTTCTTAAATAATAATACGTAATACTAATGCGTCTGCAATAGCAAAAATCTTGAAAATTGAGTTGCTGCTAAAGATGCTATTTCATTTCCTTCTTTGCAAGTTGAAAAATATTCGTTAACCTTATAAATAGTTCCGGCTATTAAAGTAAGAAAAAAATGTTAACATCACACGGTGTTCCCAGGCGGTCACCCATCCAGGTACTAAACGTGCCCAATGCTGTTTGACTTCAGTGATCGGACAAGAACT